TCGTAGATCTTTATTCACCCAAAAGGAAGTATACTGTTGAGTGAGTAGGGTTCAAACGCACAGACAGTGTCCCACTTGTGTGTTAAAATACATATATATGTACCTATGTTTTCTGTGCATATGCAGAGAAATGGCCAAGAGGGTCTCTCTAAAGTGTTAACAGGAATTTTCTGAGGGGAATGATTTCTTTTTTTTACTTCTCTTTTTTATTGTTACAGGTGATTCTTGGACAGGGATACTACAAAATACTATAAAAATTTATAACCCAAATACAAGTCAGTTAATGGCTTTAAACTTCTCAAGATTGTGGGGCAACCTACTTTGCAGTCCCCCTTCTGTCACTCTCAGACAGAAGCTTTCTTTCTCTCCATCAGTTCTTCCTAGAATTCACTCCTCAGTTCTAGAGAACACAAACTTGACGTTTTAGACATCTAGGAGGTTGAGAGTTTAATTCATTTACATCAAAGGGAAGGGAATAGGAAGAAAAATAAACAGCAAGATACGTCATGTGTAAGTACAAAGTCCCTCTGATGAATTTGGTCTTTATGTCTACCTAAAATGTACCAATAAGAAAAACTAAGTGAGGGGATTCTCAAGATTCTAGCATTGTGCTCTGGAAGGAATATGTCTTTGAAGTCAGACCAGGATCCCTCACTAACTATACAACATTGGGAACATCGCCAGCAATACCTTTCTTAGAACTTGGTAAGAGCATTAATGAGGGTAAGATTATGTGCAAAGGGTTTAGCACAGTGCCACGATCACAGTACTGCTCTAAAAAATGTTCTACCCCCACATTTGTACCTACCTCTCTTTTGCCCTCTTTATTTCATTCCTGATGATGTAAAACTCTCCCAAAACAGTCTGGCCCATGGAACTTTGGGGACAGTGCTGTGGTCCAACAGAGCTGAAAGCGAGTCTGATTTTCCCACTGTCTTCCACTGTAAGGTTAAAGTTATAATATATGAAACGAAGATATTTTGCCTCCTGGACCTAATAGAATCATTTAAGTAAGTAAAATTTGGGGTTAGAATGCAATTTTACTAACGGAGTGTGATCCGGCCTGTGGACCAATCTATGGGTCTCAACCTGGAGAGGGGATCGGGGATGGGGGCAGGACAAGAGAAAAGAGAGATGGAGACAGGATGAGATTCCAATCGAGTCTCGTTTATTTTCAAAATGGTTACAACTTATATAGGGTGGGGGCGGGCCATAGGCAGGAAGAAGGCTTAATCTGATAGGTCATCATCATATCCGGATATATGATGTAAGCAGGAGAGGATTATGGGTAATGTAGGCAGGCTGAAACAGGAAGTTTGCTTGTCATGTGCATTGCAGGCAAGGGGAGGATCATGGGAAATGTAGGCTGACACACAAAATGCCCTCAGGCAGGAGGGGCAGGGCAGCAGCAGCTATTTAAAACCGCTCCCTACATCTCCTCCCTTATTATTATATATATTTTTTGGAACATGGCAGGCCCTGGGAGGACAGCGCCTGCCTTGGGTCAAGGACTCCTCATATGAACCCAATCGAGCCTTACCCGTCATGGGCCTGCAGGACAGCTGTTGGTCCTGGACCTGTCTTAGGTGGCTGATTGGCATTACATATGTGTCCTAGTTGCCCGTCTCTGACTGCCTGTCCAGTGCCTCAGGGCGTCTGGGCCACAGCATCATGTGGGCCGTCAGTGGGTGAATTTTCCCGATAAGTTTGTTGTTCTGCCATTTCCAACCGATGGTAATATACCTGAATGGGCTTTGCCATAAATGTGTCAACCTTGTTATTAATGTTATTAATGAGTGTTATGATCCTCTGGAAAACACAAAGTCCTACAGTAAGCAGCAACAGCAAGGCAGCTAGGGGTCCCAAGAGGGGGGCAATGTAAGGGGAGAGATCCTCCCACATGGAGGAGAAGGTGGTTGCTCCGATGCGCTCCTTTTCTCTCTCTTCGAGGTGCTCTCTCAGTTTATTCATGGACTCTTTGACCACTCCCGAGTGGTCAGCATAAAAACAACACTCTTCCTTGAGGGCTGCACATAAGCCACCCTCCTTCATAAACAGGAGGTCTAGTCCTCTTTTATTTTGCAGGACTACCTCAGATAGAGACGTCAGGGACGCCTGTAGAGCTGTCACAGATGCTTCTATTTCTTTTAAATCCTGATCCACTGCTGCCTGTAATTGAGCTAGATGCTTATCTCCCAACACTAGAGCTGTGGTCCCTGTCCCTATTCCCGTTGCTACTCCTAACCCTAGTAACACAGCTAAGGTGAATGTCACAGGTTTTCTTTTAGATATATAGCTGGTCTGCGATGCCTGGAGGTAGTAGTCTCCTGGGTGGAAGGTTATGCGTGGAAGAACCTGTACAAGAACACAAAAATCTGTAGACTTGTTAAAAACAGCAGTTGCTATACAGGGTGATAGGCCAAAATTGCAGGCCCAAGACGTTCCTGGGGGTGGAATGAGGTAATTATTTGGCTTGAATTGGAATGAAGCTGGGCACAGAGTTGTGCTGCCAGTGCTGGTGGACGGCTGGAATCCCCAAGACAAGTTTCTCTACCTGAGACATCAGGGAGAGTCAGCTTGTGGTGATTGTTCCAGTCACAGGCAGATGAGCTAGAAGAACTGATAAAGGTTAAATTGAGGGCCTTTCCTTCATAATATGGGGGAGGAGCAGCCAAGCATAACCAACATGATTGGGTGAGATCAGGTTGGGTATGATTTAAAGCCATGTATGCTCCTTTAATCAAACTGAATAGGTTAGAATGTGAATATTGAGGGGCAGGTACATGATCTGTCTGGTGTAGCGGAGCTTGAGAAACTGTTATGGCTGAGGGACTTACTGTAGTTATTTGAACAGTAGTAACAGGATTTGTAGTGGGCTGATTGTATTTTGGATTTGGATGTAAGGGAATAGAAAAAAAGCAATCTTTAAGATCAATGACAATTTTAAAAAATCCCAGAGGAATGGCACTGGGTGAAGGGAGTCCTGGCTGCAGATGTCCCATTAAGACCATGGTCTTATTTACTGCCCTAAGGTCTTGTAGCAGCCTCCATTTCCCTGACTTTTTCCGAATAACAAAGATGGGTGTGTTCCAAGGGGAATCACTGGGGACAATGTGGCCCGCATCTAACTGGTCCTGTATCAGCTGCTGTGCAGCTGCGAGCTTTTTAGAGGTAAGGGGCCACTGATCGACCCAAACAGGTTTGTCTGATAACCAAGTAATCTCTTTTGCATGGGCCGCAGGAAGGTCAATGACCCCTATTGAAAATGGCCTAGGCCTGCTTTAGAGGGGTTTGGAGTTGGGGAAATAGGCACTTTAATGCCTGAGCCTCGTTTGCCTAAACCTTGATTAGGAAGGAAGCCCTGAGTGAGCATTTGTTTGGTGACTACAGCATTGGGACTGCCCATCATCATTCCCATTTGAGTTAGCAAATCTCTGCCCCACAAGTTAAGGGGTAGCCCTTCTATAATATAGGGCTGTATGTGCCCCTGATTGTTTTCACTATCATTCCAGGTAAGTAGACTGGCACTACGTTGTGGATTTTTAGATTGTCCAATCCCTTGTAAATGCGTCATAGTGGTTTCTAAGGGCCATGTGGGAGGCCAGTCCTCCTTTCTAATGACTGTTACATCAGCACCTGTATCTATGAGCCCTGAGAAACTTTTCCCATTAAGCAATAAAGACATAAGGGGTTTATCTTTGGAAATGAATTGAGCCCAATATATATCTGAGGATCCAAGGGAAGAATTTCCCCTGTAGGAAGCCACAGCTGCATTAGAAGTTTGAACTAAAGGCAGCAGCACCAACTGAGCAATACGTTGTCCTTGGCTAATGGAAACTAGGCCAGAGATAGAGGATGCCATGACAACAATTTCGCCAGTATAGTCGTTATCTATGACTCCTGGAACAACTTGTAACCCTTTTAATATTGTGCTGCCGCGTCCAAGAATTAACCCACGAGTGCCCTTGGGAAGAGGGCCATAAATCCCGGTGGGGATGGCTTTGGGCAGCCTCTTCTGCTAATTGTGACCAATCAACTTCTTGGCCACTGGAAAGGTCAGGGTAAATAGGGCGGTATGGAGGAGGGGCCGTGGCGGCGCCATTTTGAGGACCCTCGTGGTCTCCAGACAAAGGGAGTGTCGGCACATCGCCATCTTGAATAGGCTCCGGGATCTCAAGGACGACAGAGCTGGGAGGGCTGGGTGCCTTAGATAAGACTGGTGGTGGCGGAGTATAATTGCAGGAGGCAGCTAACGCAGCCTCACCCTGGGCAAGCGTCTCCGCAAGCTGGGGATCTGCGTGACGTTGTGCCAGCAGCTCAGAGATTAAAGTTCAATATGAAAAAGCAGTTACAGGAACCTTTTTTGGACCAAAAACTTCATAATAGTCCTTAAGAGCATCTCCTACTCTATTCCACCTGTTTAAATTAATCGTACCCTCTAGGGGGAACCATGGACACACTGAATGTATGAACTGAAAATACTTTATTAGTTCTTTTGTCTTAACCTTGATCCCTCTAATCTTGAGAGCCTCCCTGAGGCCAGTCACGAACAATTCGTGCTCACTGAGTGCTTGTCCCATGTTAATGCCGTTCACCTACCGTGATTCAGGCGAGACGTAAGGTGGCCGTCTGCACAGATCACAGGACCAATGTCCTTGAATCAGTCACGCTGGCCAGCGCTTTACTCCTGTGAACGGTCCCGCGTCGTTATCCCTCGTGCCAGGTGAGGTCCCTTCGTGGTCGCCACTTGATCCGGCCTGCGGACCAATCTATGGGTCTCAACCTGGAGAGGGGATCGGGGATGGGGGCAGGACAAGAGAAAAGAGAGATGGAGACAGGATGAGATTCCAATCGAGTCTCGTTTATTTTCAAAATGGTTACAACTTATATAGGGTGGGGGCGGGCCATAGGCAGGAAGAAGGCTTAATCTGATAGGTCATCATCATATCCGGATATATGATGTAAGCAGGAGAGGATTATGGGTAATGTAGGCAGGCTGAAACAGGAAGTTTGCTTGTCATGTGCATTGCAGGCAAGGGGAGGATCATGGGAAATGTAGGCTGACACACAAAATGCCCTCAGGCAGGAGGGGCAGGGCAGCAGCAGCTATTTAAAACCGCTCCCTACAGGAGTGTGTTTCAGATCGTCTAGATCAATGCTTCTCAAATCTACTCAGGTTCAACATACCTTTTTCATAACATCCATGAGGCTATCTTGAAATTCATAGATAATGTACCTTACGCATTTACTTAGCGAATAATGGTGGTGCATAATCGTTATCTTTGAAGGAATATGATTTCCTGATCGTTTCTTTAATCCCTTTTCTCCCCTTACACCCTCCTCCTGCTCCATCATTAGACCTGTCTCTTTGTTTCCCAACAGCTTTCCTTCATTTTATTCTTTAATCAATTTATATTTGGGGTTTCTCATAGAAGAGAAATCATGCAATATTTCACTTTATGTTTACATGCATTTTTATTTTTCTCCTCCCCTCCCTTCAACTCTTCTTCCCCTCTATATTTACCAAAGTTTTTCTTTTTTCCTTGCATTCTCTTTTTTAATCCCTTTTCTCCTCCCCTTCCTTTGTTCCCCTTCCCATCTGAACAAGTTCTTTATACTTCTCAACATTTTCCTTCATTTTATTCCTTATTTACTCTAAGTTTCTCACACAAGAGCAGCAATGCAATATTTAAACTTGTGTTTCTAATTTTTTCACTTAAAATTACAGTCTCAAAGTACTTCCATTTACTTAAAAATGTCTCACTTAAACTTTATGATAGAGTAGTAGTCCATTGTATATAAGTACATTTTCCTTATCTATTCACCTGTTGATGGACATACAGGCTGTTTACAAGATTTAGCTATTATAAATTGTGCTGCTATAAACATGGGTGTGCACGTATCACTGTGGTGTGATGCTTTTCACATTTTGGGGAAGACCCCTAGAAGGTGAATAGCTGGGTTAAGTGGAACCTCTAGTTTTAGGGTTTTTTTTTTTAATAATCTCCATACTAATTTCCATAGTGGTTGTAAAAATATACACTCCTACCAACAATGGAAAAAATGTTTTCCTCACAGCCTCACCACCATGTGTTATGGGTTGATTTCTTGGTAACAGCCATTCTTTCTGGAGTGAAATGGAATCTCGGTGTTGTCTTAAGTGGCATTTTTCCAATGAGCAGTGATGTTGAATTTTTATATGTATTTATTTGCTATTTACACACCTTTTAAAACTGGGGTAATTTCTTAACAGTCTCCTAAAGGAGAAACCAAAGGAAGTAATTATAATTAATTATGTGGAATGTACTTAGATGTATACAAGGTCAAATATGACAGTGCAGTCGTGAATGTGGCCGTTAGAAGTGTGCGTGTTGACACCCAAATACCAGGAGTTATATAGTCATAGAGAATGTGATTTTTTCCAAAATATTGACTAACCTTTGGTAAATGTCTGTTCTAAGAAGTTTGATTTCCCTCTACACAGTGGTTGAATTCTTTTAAAATTTAGTGCATATTAAGATCCTGCATAAAGTACTTTGAATATAAAATCTCGAGGTAGGTAGGGAATATGTTTAAAATGTGGGCTTCCTGGGTCCCATGCCAAGAGATTTTGTCTTAAGGGCCTAGGATAGGGCCCAAGAAACTCTTGCTGGTGAATTCTGTTATCTAAAGCAGCTGAAGAGGGAAGGCTGTAGGGGAAATCTAAAGTGGAAAAACTGGGAACCGAAACCCCAGATTGGGCACTTGGCCAGTCTAATGTAATCTAATGCGGTAGTGGGTGTGGGACTGCGATACCTCGGTTTCACATAGAACTCTGCTGCTCGCGGTTACCTGATTTTCTGAGTCTGTTTTCCTCATCTGAGAAGCATATTGTTATCTGCAGAATGCAGGAGTGGGACAGGTGTTCCTAAGACTCCGAAGCTTGTTTTATGAAGACTATAAAAACTCTTGATACTAGGCAGTTTGTCAAATATATCTAACTATGCAAAGACCTTATTGTGAAGACACTGCTATTCATGCTTTAGAAAGATCTGATCAGTGCTGACACTGTCCCCAGAGCTCACTGTCTGAAACCAGAGAAAGCAAGTCAGAAAGAAATTGAGGGACTGGCAAACCTCCCCCCTCCCAAAGGAGCTAGGAAAGCACACCTCCCCTCTGAAAAAACTTGATAGGATTCTGGCCCTGGTCAGGCCAGCGCGATAGCGTGGACTTGGACGAGTCCCTTCACTTGTTTAGATTTTCAGCTCCCAATCCAGTCCTCCTCGTAACCTCTTTCCCCACCCCTGCCGCCACCCTTTCCACCCCTGGGTACTCGTTTCTTCCTTTACATTGCTGTCCCCTCCAGCACTATGCGTGCTCCGTGCTTTCCCAGTTCGGATTTCGGTCACCTGCTCCTCTGACACCTTTTACTTCTCCGCCTTGTCGAGCGTCCCCATCAATCCCGCGACGTCCAAGCCCACCTCAGGGTGGGGAAGGGCCGACTTCCGCTCGGGGGCGCCGTGCACGCTCGAGACTCCCACGCTGCACCCCGACCCCGCAGTCCCTGCACCCTGGCGGCTCACTGTTACCTCCAGCCCCGCAGATATTCCGCCCCCTCCCTGGGCCATCAGCTCCGAGCTAGGAGAGCCCAGAGTTGCAGGTCGTGGCGCTGGTCTCCGCCCTTCCTCCCCGGTACTCTCCCAACGCCTCCTCCCCTAACTTCCCTGGGCTGCTGAGGCTGAGGCTCTTCCTCCTGGGTCTGGGATATCCCCATCGGGCCGGGTCCAGAGCCCCGAGCCCCCCACGTGTCCGAGCCCGCCACGTGGGTCCAGCTCAAATCCCCAGGGCCGGCGGCTCCTCGCAGCACCAGCTCCCCTAGTGCAGGCGAAACCCGCGCCCACCGGCAAGCCACGCGCCGACCGCTAGCCGCACGCGCGGGGTGCAGAGCCTTGCTGCAGAGTGCGGGTGTCCGCAGAGGCAGCGAGCGCGCGAACAGACGGAGGCGGGTGCGCAGCGAGGGAGCGTGGGAGCGCGGGTGGGCCCGGCGGCGGACACCTCGGGAGCAGGGGCTGCGCGGTCATAAGGCCCGCAGGACTGCAGTGCCACCTCTCCGGAGCAAACCCATACGGCCGCACGCCCGCGCGCGCACGCCCGTGCCCACGGTGGGCAGGAAGAGCGCGAGTGGGAGCCTCGGAGCAGTGGGCGTCTCGCAGCGATGGCATCTGCCCTCAGCAGCACCATTCACCCGCCTGGGACTTGCCTGGGCTCCAAAGCCGACCCCAGCGCGGGCTGGAGAATGGAGTGCGACCCGGAGATGCACCTGAAAATGTGCAAGAAGATCGCCCAGCTCACCAAGGTAGGGCAGGTGCGGGGGCCGCGAGCTGCTCACTGTGCTCCGGGAGGGAGCGGAAGGGAGGTCACTAGCGCCTCCCGGGGAGGCCCGGGCGAATCCGGACAAAGTTTCTCTCAGAGGCCAGCGGGAGGGAAGAAGTCCGAAATCTGGGTGACTTGACCTTCTGGGGGCACCAATCTGAAGCAGCAATGAGCGGATCCTTGCCAGGAAATGCGCACAGGCTGCCTGCTCAGCAGGCGGGCTGTGCTTTCCCCGCGGTGGAAATATGAATCTGTGTGTGTGTGTGCGTGTGTGTGTGCGTGTGTGTGTGTTTTCCTCTGCCAGCTCTGCTCAAGCGATGTGCCTTGAATGTTGTGATTTCACTCAGCGCTGCACTGCACAGCTGGGAAGGTCATGTGAGCTCTATTTAAACACTTGATTCATTTATTCCTTCATTCAACAAATGTTTGAGCCTTTTATTGAGTGCCAGCAGCTTGTGTGACACCGTACTAACCCTGGAAGGCAGCCCCGGGGGAGTTACTATCATAGGCTGCAGACGTATGGCGGAGCATAAATGAGGAAAAGGGCAACTCTGCACAATCTCGGGTCAGCAGAACACCCCTCGGCTTCCTCCCAGGGCCCTGGTCAGACTTCCGCAGACTGTTTCTTCCTTCTGGAGACCAGCGGGAAGGTGCCAGCAATGCTCACTGTAATGGCCTGCAGTGCCACAGGTGCCCCTGAAGTGCCTCCTCCCTAGATGGAAAGCTTCCCTCCTTGTCTTTTGTACGAGGTTTGTGGTGGATGCACTCAGCTGTTTGCTTGGGGTTTCCTCTTGGTCTTAGGATACACTCCTAACACCATGTCTGCCAGGGCAAGGTTAGGCCCACCCATGATCTGTCCAAGAGTGGAAATCACTGGAAATGTGTGGAGCCCTACTGTGGGCCGGCATTGCCAACTATTGGTGGCATCGAGTTTAGGAAGACACAGCCTCTGCTCTTGTGGTCTGCCAACACATAATTGGATCATCCTAATGTAATATGATAATCATTCCTTTATTAATGTTTGTGGCACGCTTCTTATAAGATGCATCATGTGTGATGATGCATCAGGGTAGAGTGCAGACATGACCCCTAGTGCATGCGAGGTCTTGTTTCTTCAAACATATTTTCCACTGCAAATCGTGGTTGAGTCTTATTTTGTGTTGCCTCTCTGGCATTTTCTCATGTAAACTGCCTAAATTAGAATTTTTGGGCATCGAACTCAGAGCTCCTCTACCACTGGGCTGCACTGGTATTATTTTTTGATTTTCAGAAAAGGTCTCATTGAGTGTCCCAGGGTGGCCTTAAACTTGGCATCCCCCTGCCTGAGCTGCCCCAGCAGTTGGGATCACAGCAGCATGCCACCGTCCCTGACAAACATTTGGTATTGATAAGGCACCTTTTGTCTACTGCATATAGCACATATTTTCTGTGGCTGTACTTTTAGTCTTTCCATTAGTTTTGCTTTAATTGCATCTCTGGTAAGAAAACTTAATCCATGTGCATTTATTGTGATTACTGCTAATATTTGGGGGTTTTCTTCCACCATATTTTTTTATTATCCTTTATCATTGCTTTCTTTTTCTCCATTCCTGGCCTGTGTTGATTTAGTAAAATAATCTATGTTTGTGACTGATTTCCTATCTGGTTACTCACTGCTGCCTAGAATTTTATTTTTACCTTTTAAATTTAAAAATAATTTTTTTTAAAAAATAAAAAGTTTTTATAATAAAAAGCTAATTAAATGTACTGAAATCTTATCAATTAGTTTCTCTGTTCGCTATTATTTTCTCTCTTCCTTGAGTCCAGAATGTTTCCATTGAGTTCGTTTTTCTTCTGGCTGGAGTCTATCCTTTACTAGTTCTTTCTCTAAGGGAAGGGATTGTTTATATATTTTGTTCTCCTTGTTGTATGATAATTCATTTGGGTATAAAGTTCTACTGGACAGTTACTTTGCCAGCTTTACATCAAAAACTTTCACAGCCTCCACATGTGGGTGACAACGTGAAGTATTTATCTCTCTGTGCCTGACTTATTTCACTTAACCTGTTCCCAGTTCCATCCTGATCCTACAAATGAAAGAATTTCATTTTTTATGGCTGAATAATATTCAATTGTATAGACACCACATTTTCTTTGTCCATTTGTCCATCAGTGGACCCAGAGGTTGATTCCCTGTCTTAGCTATTGTGACACTTTCATCCTTCCATTTTTCCTCTTACTCTTTCCTCTCTTGAAATGTCGTCATCTCTAAAAGTTAGAAACATCTTATCTTTTAATTCCTCTTAAAAGACTTACTTTCTTTAAGAAAAACCTTTGAAAACTCTCGTTTTCTTGCAGTTAAAAGTGCACAATGACTTTTTTTTTCTTGGCACCAAGAATCAAACTTACCACCTCATGCTTGCCAGGAAGGTGCTACTTTTTCTTATTTTTTTTGTTTCTACAATCATTTGTACGGATACCTCATATGTATTAGTTACATAGTAAGCTTGTTAAATTCGATCAAAGATTTCTTCCAAAGGTTTAGTTAAGATTTCATAACACTTGTCCTTAATTAAAATTGATTTGCATATAGGCATATCGTATGTCTCTTAAAATAATAAACTCCTTAATCTTATTGGCAACATTTCACAACTAACAGGCGATTAATATGAGGTATGATTTAAAAAAAAAAAACATAGTGAATGTTTAAATTTAAAACATGTGTTCCAATAAAGGACACATTGGCATTAATCCCCCTCAGAATACATCCCCTCACTTTGGACAGTTACCCCATCATTCTCGCCACTTTCTGAAGCAATTCTGAAAGCCCTCCTTTGTGAATCTCTCTTCATGGCTGCTTGATGTCCTGCATCTGTTTGAAATGTTTACCTTTCATTTTGACTTTGGGGAGAGCCAGAAGTCTCCCGGTGCCAGATGCAGGGAATAAGGTGGATGCATACACTCTGTGATGTTTACACGAGGCCACCTCCTGCTGGGTGGCACTGGGCAGCAGCATTCACTGTTTTCCATACCTCAAAAAGATCAAAAGAGCACTCCCAGAGGTACTTCAGAAAGTGGCCCGAACAACAGGATAAATGAGCTTAGAAATGAGAGAGAGTATTCTCAAGTGTTTATGTGTCTTTTACCATAATTATTTTTTATTTTAACATTCATTATATATTTCACTCACACTCCATATACTGTAGTTGTGCAAGAAAGTACTATTATCCTTAGGAAATACATACTGAATCATGTCTTTTAAAGAAGCAAGATGCTGCACCACACAGTTTATTTTATAACAGAATGTAGGAATAAGGCATCAAATGGAATAAATGATACACGAGTCAAAATGCTTAAAAAGGTTAGGTGACTCTAAGTGCAGGGTGTATGATATTCTTTGTACTGTTGTTTTTCTTTCCATGTTTCCTGAGTCTGATATTATTTCTAAACATAAAGTTCCAAACTAGCAAAACATCGCTGCCTCCTCTCCAGGCCCACCTTTGGAATGGCCAGTATGGGAATCATTTTTCAAAGCCCTTCCAATGTGCAGATAGGATTGAGAACCACTGGATTGGAGCACTTGAAGGTTTGAGCAGTAAAGTGCACACAGAGGACTTGTCTGCAAAGTGTGTGTGTTTTTTCCATTTGTGTGTTGCTGCCACCTCATCCCCAGGAGAGGTGAAATCCACTATACCTAGAGATTTTCCCAGTTCCAATATTCAAGGAAGAGTGGACTGTTCAGCCTAAATGCAAATCTTGATGAAGATCCTTTTGTCTGTAAACAAAAAAAAAAAAAAAATGCAGGAGAAGCATGTGTTCCTGTCTGTGAACCGTCTCAGCTCTCAGAAACCTAGACCTCAGAGCACCTGAGGTTGGGGTGAGGGGTGTCGAATGGCTGTGTCCTATTTATCTGTGGACGTGTTCTTCCACGGGAAGTCACAGAGCTCAGGGTCACTGCTTTGTGCGCAGTAACACGGCCCCACCACAGGGACGGTGTCCCCATCCTGGAACCTCACCTTGGCCTGGGCAGTACCTCAGCCGAGACAGAGATACTGGCTGTCAAGTGTAGTGGGAACCAGAAGGTATAGGGTAGAGGGCTGAAGCGGAAGGAAAATACTCCCTGAGTATAAAGCCAGATTATACAGAGGGAGAAGAATGGTCTCTATGTAGAGATATTTTAAAATGCATTTAAATCTGATTTATATTAGAAGGCTACTTTTTACTGTTATTTAAACTAATGAATAGAAATTAAACAAGAATCAAAATGAAGTCTCTGAAGAGCTACTGAACAATTTAGGGGTTTCTGGTGTAGTTGGCATTGGCTAATATATCACCTCTTCAGGTGGCCTTTTCTGGCCTCCAAATTCAAAGGGACCAACTTTCCTCACCTGTAATTGGGGGTGTGGGGAGTCTCCTCTGCTATGAGACAGATTCCTAACCTAAGGAATGCAAGTGACACACTGTAACCCAATCCGTCCTGTCACCTAGCACAGCCACCTCGCTTCCCTGGGACTGAGAGGCCAGGACAGTGTTTAAGGCCCTGAAGGCGATGTCTGCTGCCACAGGAGTCCTCAGCAACAGGCTGCCCCTGAAGCCCTTTGTTTACACAGTTGGAAGGTGTAGACGTTTTATTGCACCTACTCACTCCCTTTGCTTCTCTGAAAATATCCTCCTGCTTGCAGGAGTTTATTTGGGGACAGGTGTGTAAGCAATTCCCTACCAGTTGCTTTAAGACTATTGATTTGAAAACAGACCTATTTTAACAAGCTCTTCTTATTGGAATCCTTAATGCTGTAACTTACGGTGAAAAGACACAGATCTCTGTGATACCACAAAACAATATGAAGTGCCCCTGAATTTGAATGTCCTTGATTCTATCTTTTACCTAACCATTCTGCTCTCTCCACTCCCTTTAGTCACTGACCTTCTTCCAAAATAACAGTCACCTACAACCATGTATCTGTATGTTTCACCATATTGGTGCCATTTATGTGGGGAGTAAGA